CTAGTAGTATATAAGTAATTTATCATTTTCCTCTACGGTCTCGAATCGATGTCTTTTTTTTTTGTCTTCTCTTCGAGTAACACTGTCGGGGGGAAAAAAAATCAACTCTTCCAAGTTATACGACAAATCGTGCGCAATCACAGAATTTCAAAAAAGGAATTTCAAAGTCATCATTTATAATTTCTTTACAAGACTTTTGAATAAAAAAATTCCTTTACTATAAGAAGAGACACCTCCTTTTTACTATGTATAAAACAAACATTTATAGTTTGATAAGATTCATGTGACATATTTATGATAGAATCATAAGGTAAATGTTCATGAGCCAAAAAAGAAATAAGCTAAAAAACTCTCTAAGTATAGGTTATAACACATTTTGTTTAATTAGTTCATATATCATCTTTATAGAATAATCCACCGATTCGTGGCTAATTCTTGTAATTTGTTTGTAATTTGTTATACTAAATTAGATCATTTGGAGACAATAAAAAACTTTGGTTGGAACAAAAGGAAGTGACAAACTAGAACAACAAGGATTATTACATATATATAACTTGAAAGTTAAAACAAGATAATTGAATGGTTATCCAGAGAACTCTGTAACCTAATAATGTAATCTTAAGATGACAAATCCCAAAAAGAAAATAGGCAAAAGAAAAAGAAAATAGAAAAATAGAGAGAAAAAGAAAACCACATCTTTGCCAATTTTTACACACTTTGCTTTTGTCTATTCTTGGTAGGTTTTGTTCTTCCCTCTTTCCGTTCATACAATTTCTTGGCTTTCACGTTAAACAAAAACAAAAGAAGAGATTTCACCAGAGATCGAATCGATTCCATTGCGCGTGTAACCGCAATGCGAAATTGGGAGAACCCGGTTATGCTTGCGTGTAACACGGCCTCGAAGAAAAACCTACCTTCTTCCATTTTCCTCATCATCATAATCTTGTTCACCGTGTTATGTCCGGTGGTTATGTCTCAGCTGGTTGTGCCAGATTCAGACGCAGACTGTCTCTTGAAATTCAAAGACACATTAGCAAATGGTTCGGTTTTTTATAGTTGGGAGCCATCAATATCACCATGTAAAGGAAATTATGCAAATTGGTTTGGTGTTCTTTGTAGCAATTACGTTTGGGGGTTACAACTTGAAGGAATGGGCTTAACCGGGACATTAGACCTTGAAACATTGGTTCCTATGAAGAATCTACGAACCATAAGCTTCATGAACAATGAATTTAGTGGTCCAATGCCTCAGATTAAGAAGCTTAATTCGTTGAAATCTTTGTATTTGTCTAATAACCGGTTTTCGGGGGAGATACCCACGGATGCATTTCAAGGTATGCCGCATTTGAAGAAAATTCTGTTGGCGAATAACGCGTTTCGAGGAACCATTCCTTCTTCTTTAGCTACTTTGCCAATGCTTTTAGAGGTGAGGTTAAATGGTAATCAGTTTCAAGGACAGATACCAAATTTTCAACAGGAAGATCTTAAATTAGCTAGCTTTGAAAACAATGACCTCGATGGACCTATACCCGCAAGCCTTCGAAACATGGATCCTGGCTCTTTTGCAGGTACATTTTTCAAATTTTTATAGATTAATAAATCATTCGCATTTGGGTCTTTAATTCATTTTTTCATATAAATTTTGCATAAAACCTTTCAAGAGTTTGATATATTTTTGCATGACATGAATGTTTTGTGTTTTGTAAATTGTAGGTAATAAAGATTTGTGTGATGCTCCATTAAGTCCATGTTCTTCTTCCTCTCCGGTAATTCCAGTAGTTCCTGTTGATCCGAAAT